TGATATATAATGCATAGCCTTTTTCCTGTCATGGAGGATAAAACAAAACATACAGTCCTATCTCCTATTGTAACCCTTGCCGTTGTTTAACCCTTCCGTGGGCAGCAGTAACTGAAGGGAGAAAATGACAAGTGACTGACTCTAGATCTTTGTATTAATTTTCTATTATTTTTATTTCTATTGTTGCATAATACATTTTGGCAAACTTAACGCCTTAAATCAGTACCCATTTATTATCTTGCAATGTCTGTGGGTCATGGGTCTGAATGTGAGTTAACCATATGTGTTCAGAGTCCTACTAGGCTGAAATCAAGGTGACATCTGGGGCTATATTCTCATTGGAGGCTCATGATCCTCCTTCAAGCTCATCGGTTATTGTTAGAATTCAGATCCTTGAAGTTGTAGGACTAAGGCCTTTCTCATCCAGAGGCTGCCTACTATTCCCTGCCACAAGGTTCTCTCCACATGGAACATTAGGGTATTTTTATGATCAACAGGAAAAGTGCCTCTGATGCTTCTTGTCTCTTTTAAAGGGTCACCTGATTAGGCCAGACCCATGCAAGTTAGTAATTTCTCTCTTGCTGGATTCAAAGTCGTCTGAGAAGGAACCTTAAAATTCTTTGTTATGTAGTATAACATAAGCCATAGATTCCACTCATATCCAAGGAGGATAGAATTATATAGTTCATGTACTTAAGATAGTAGGGGTTTTAGGGACCATCCTAGAATTCCACCTACCACAGGAGGGGCCCTAAATGTATTCACATAAATGTAGAAAAAACTTTCTTGCTTATAATCGTTCTATTTTAATAAGAACAAAGCTTACCAGAGGTATTAATTAAGTTTGCTGTTGTACATGGTTCATCTATGGTGAAATTGTTAAAATGGACACAAAGGGATTAGTGTTAGTCACTTCCTTATCACTAGGACAAAACACCCAACACCCACATGAGAGGTTTACTTTGGGTAACAGTTTCAGAAATTTCAGTCCATGGTTGGCAGGTTCAACCACAGAAATAAAATGGTGGAAGGATGTGCCACGGAAGAGAACTGCTCACATCATGGCAGCCAGGAAGAAGATGGAAGGGAGGAGCCTGGGAGGCAGATACCCTTCCAGATCACAGCCCTCAGTAACCTGACTCTAAAGTGGGCCACACCTCCTAACAGCAGACCAGTTCTGAGCGCATCAGTGAACTAATTCAAACCAAACAGAGGTAGAGGGAAGACACTGCTTAATGCTCTGCAACTGAAGGACATAACTGGGTACCAAGACATGAAAGTTTTCCTTCCCTTTCCATCCCTAATAGTTAGGCACCACTGTGGCAACTAATGAATGAAATACTCACCTGCTTCTGCATGACAGAAATCCACTACAGCTTCTCAGTTAAGATGGAAACAAAATTTGGACTGGGAAATGTGGGATCCCTAGTCCTGAAAACTGTCCTTATGAAGACTGCTTCTTCTCAGCAACCATGGCTCGGCCACCTACACTGAACTCATGTGTTAGTTTTTGCGTCTGTGAATAATGACAGCAGGGAAAGTTTAGTAGCCTAGAAATTCTGTGCTGGCTTGCTCAGAAGGTCCAGCAGAAAAAAGTTTGTGACATCAATAGTGGAGTGACATTAAAAAGAGTACTTTTCTTTACTGTAGCTTGATATCTAACAGAGATGAGGAAAACATTGTGTTGAGCTTCTTTATGATGTATTAATCTGAAATTTCGGATTATCTACAGAGAGGTGGAAAAGTGGGGACTATAATCTTTTTGGTGTCTAAAGGCTCTAGAGCCTAGAGGTCTTAGACTATAAGGAAATATATAATATTACAACAGGGAGAGTGTACTGCAGGGCATTTCTTCTTACCCATTCCTTCCATTCAGAACTGTGTATAAACCATTTTTACACAATGCTACAAAAATGTGCCCCCAGAGGGCAGGGATTTTTGTATGATGTTCCGTGCTGTGTCCTAGAACCTAGCACTGTGCCTGGAACTAGCAGGTAGTTAGAAATTCTCCATAGGTGGATGGATAGATAAATATTTCCATTGTCAGCTGTCTTCCCTATTTGCATGTCACCCAATTCCTTTGACTCCCACACAATCCCAAGGCATCATGAGAGAACATTTTGTGTTTTTCAAATTTACTTGATAATGAAAATAATGTCTGGGTACTTTTCAAAAATATAAATTATCAAGACTGTAGGAAATTCTGGTTCCAGGAGTCTAGAGAGGCACTCAGGATTTTGCATTTTTGATAAGCATACCAGAGGAGTCTTTGCTTGAAACCAACACTCAGGTACATAGCAGGAGCTCATCTCTTCCCCACACAAAGACTGAAGAGCCATGGACCCTTGACCTAGTTTCTGAGGGTTGTCAAAGTCATTACTCCAAGTTTCTTGCCAGTAGCACTAAGGGGATGGGAAGCTGCAAGGGTCTTCTGGACTACCATCAGTCATCTGGGCTAAGCCCTGCATCATGGCTCCCACCTTACTGAGGAGACCAGCCTGGGGAGAGGTGCTCAGAAGCCCCTCTACTTCTGAGACTGCCCACTGAATATCTCATCACTTTTCCAATGGCAGACTTTCTGTTCTGTTCGCTCTCTCCTGCCTGTCACCAGCACATGAATTCACAGGCATCTCTGTTTGGTTTGGTGATGATTTCTGCCCTGTTGGGTGGGAGTTGACCTCTGCTGATGTTTGGTTCACTGAAACAAAACATTTCTCCTTGGGGGAGGGGCACTAAATGAAGCTCCTGCCATTAGGACTGTTCCTCTACACAAGAGAGGAGAGCTCTGATCCAGGTCTGGCCTTCCCCTTAAACACCAAGGCTTCCCACTCCTCCTCTAAGATCTGAAAAGACTGGCTTCTCCCTTAGTGATTCCTTCTAGGGCTTCTTGTCCTCAGGACTCAGTGACCTCTGACTGGTTCACCAAGCACTTACAATTTCCAAGAAGGTTGAGGTTATAGAGCAACTTGAGAAAGGAAAATTGCTGCCTTTCCGTCATGGCACCATAGAACTCTCCTGAAAAGGCTCCGCCTATGCAGACAGAGAATCCTGCAGTCTTCAACCTGTGACATTGAATTCTTGAACACTAACACCAAAGAAGAATAAACCCAGGTGGAGAAGAGTAATCTGTTTAATGACTGACAGTGAGACAATATGAGACTATAATTATACTAGAGCTGCATTGTCCAATACAATAGCTGCCTATGGCTATTTAAATGTCAATAAATTAAATAAAATTTAAAATTCAGGTTTTCACTCCCTAGCCACATTTCATTTTCTTAATGGCCAGTGTGGCCAGTAGCTACCATATTGTGTAGCATAGCTATAGAGTATTGGATCATCACAGATAATTCTGCTGGACAAAACTGTTTTAGAGGCATTGTGTTCTCCTTCATTCTGTCCATGTACTATTTCTTCATATTATTGGAAATGTCTTTCTTTGTACTGGTGATTTTGTAGTTCTGATGCATTATTCTGAAGAAAAATCACTATCAAAGATTGTATTAGAAAAAAAAAACAACTGTAGTACTTGGTGGGGGAGGGAAAATTAATCACCAAAAGATTTTATTTCCCCCAGTCTTTCTGTCTATGAGAATATTTCCCAGCCAGCCGTGGTGGGGCTTGTTTATACTGTAGTCCTAGAACCATGGGAAGTGGAAGCAGGAGAATCAGAAGTTCAAGTCCAGCCTGGGTAACTTCCCGAGATTGTATCTCAAAAAAAAATTTCCTATCTCAAATTTTAAAAGATTTAAAAAGGGCTAGGGTTATAGCTCAGTGTGAAGCCCCTAGATTCAATCCCTAGTACTGCCCCCAAAAAGTGTCCTCCCTTGTTTTCCATTTTATTTTCTGCTTTTTCCAAAGAGTATCTTGTTCCATGTAAGTCTTCTCAAACTGAAATGGTAGAATAAGCTTCAAAAAGAAAAAAGGCCAGAGAAAAGCCAAAATCCTGTTTGGGGCCTGGGAATGAATAGTTGATCAGAGTACCTTGAATCATACATAAAGAAAAAGAATGAAAAAAGCAGAAAAAGGGATGAGACACAGAGTAGTGCAGTGGTCCCCGACCAGGAGCATGGGTCTGGGCAGTGAGTCTGGAGGGTGGCAAACTGGGCAGGTTCTCATCAGTCCCCAGGCTTCCAGGCCACCCAGTGCTCTTGAGTTCCTCTGGGCAGCCATTTCCTACCCAGAGTCCCCTGCTTCCTAGCACCTTCTTTGGTACAGATTCATCTTCACTTTGTGTAGAGCTCTAGCCTAGAATCCATGTGCCCACAAAAAAGACAGTAGAGCATTAAATGCTGGGTTAGGAGGAAGATCCTTTTTCCTTGAATGTGGATGAGATGCAGGAACTATGCTGTTGGCAGTTTCCCTCCCATAATACCTGTCACTCCATCATGAATTCTTATATGCTGTGTTCACTCTGTGTGACACTAGGAAAGTCAGCCATGCTTTGAAAGGGGACAAGCAAGGGATCAGGAAGTAGAGGGCAGGATATGGAAACTCTGGGCCAGAGACTGCCAAGGACAAACACCAGGGTAAGATATGGGCCAAAGTTCAGGTAGACAGCAGGGCCAGCATGAGGAAGTACAATTCTGAGGCTTTGGGGCCTGAAGACTGGACCAAAGGCGACTTTTCCACTCACCTGAGGCTGTCCCCAGCATTCTTGGAACAAAGAACTGCCACTTCCATCTCACCCATAAGCAGGCAGGGACTTTTCCAGTTGATGAGCCACTGAGCCAGGAGGCAAGGAGGGAAAGGTAGCTGTTCACAGGCAGACAAAGTCTTGGGGCCCCTCAGCCTCCTCCAGTTCAGAGGCCAAGGCTGTCTCTACCTGCTATGTTGTAAGCCTCATCGTCTCTCCAGCCTTGGGTTAGTGTGACTGCAGCAATCTGCACTTGCCTTCCACCCCAGACTCCATTCCTGCTCCCCTTTCACCCCAGAACCCACCAAATGCTCAGTGCAGAGCTCCTGATGGACAAAGCCCTGTTTCTCTCCTTGTCTTGCAGCCGTCTCCAACCTGGACATCGAGAGTAAGCTGAGTGTGTACTACCGGGCCCAGTGGCACCAGCAGAGAAACATCTTCCTCCCAGCCACCAGGCCACCCTGCGTGGAGGAATTGCACCGCCATGCCCGGCAGAGCCTGCAAGCCCTGCGCAGAGGTAACAGAGTCAAGGCGTGGGGCTTTTCTGCAGCAGAACTCGGAGATTTCCCCATCCAGGGTTCTCTGTCCTGTCGCTCCCAATGCCTGCCTTTGTGACAGCAAGTACTTTAAAGTGCTCCCTTTTCTACCCTGGATGAAATCTGTGGATACTGGAACTTACTATACACATACTAAAATTAGCATTATAGTCTCAATTTGATAATAAAGAGACGTTAAAACAAAAAGAATAATAATATGTATTTCAATATGCAAATGTTCAACTGTAATTACAATGGAAAATATAACAAAAGCAGTTAAAAGTTTGTACTTATCAAAAATAAAGCTGGCAGCAGGATCACCTGTACAAGCCCGGCCTGGGCAATTTAAGGAGACCCTGTCTCACAAGAAAAGAATAAAAATAAAAAGGTCTGGGTGTGCAGCATAGGAGTAGAATACCCTTGGGTTTGATCCCTAGTATCAAAATAAAGTTTGGATTAAATAAAGGCAGTCAGAATCCTTTCCAAAAAACAAAACAAACAAAATTCAGAGAAATGAAAAGGCCCTGAGGGCAGGATGGCACACCAAAGTAACCGGTCTAAGCGTATAGTAGGTGTAAGCAGAAGAGGTTGACTCAGAGACAGGTTCTAGACTTTTTCCTTATTAAGAGATTCAGATAGGACATTTGCATGTTGTGTGGGACCTGAAACACTTTTACTGACTGTCCTGTACATTTTCAGGATGGCTGGAATGAATCCCTTGAGGGCTCTGTGGCTCCTGTTGGGAACCAGTGAGCTGATCAAACAGTCCCATTCTACAGGGGAGTACGTGGAAGCCTAGACCCATAGATAAAAGGGCTCAGCATCACACACAACAGGATGTGCGTGCCAGAACCCAGCCCTGAGCCTTTGAGGCCCTCACCAGACCTCCTGTCCTCCTTGCCATGCATTGCCCCATGGAAATAAATATTTACATTTCTCTCGCAGCTCTGAGAGCACCAGAGATAGGCACAGAGCAGTCAAGGCAGAAATCCAGCCTTTTCTAACACCAGTTACAAAGACCTTTCTAATTAAGATAAGGGGATCAGAAGTGAGCACCATCCTTTTAGAGACCCCTAAATGGGGTCCAGAAGTTGACATGCCGGCTTTTTTGGCTTTTAGGTTCTTGCTATGGAGACAGATGGTGTCTATAGATTCACTGTCTTTGTTCCAAATTCCCTTCATTCTTTTCTCCCCTTTATTCTTTTAAAGAATGGTATTGTGTGTAAGTATAATAATGCAAATAGCATTTTACTATCATTATCAAAATAGAGAATAAAATTATGACTATTGTTGTTTTTATCTTATTTTCTTTCCTATCCTCACCGTCTTTGCTTCTAAAAATTTTCTTGCCCATTAGTGGTAGACACTATGACACAATTCAGAGTGAGAATCAGTGGTCCTTTAGAAGTATCTCTGGCATCCTTGCTATTTACTTCGACTTTACAGTCAACAAATTTTTAGTGCAAACCACCTTCTGGAAATTTCCCTTTAAACTCTTGCCTTTCCTTTGCAGCCTAGATTATTAGTCCCCTTCCCACACTGCATTGGGCACCTTTTCATCCTGCCACTTAAAACCTTCTGTCCTAACTGACCATTATGGGCCTGTCTTCCACCCCTGATCCATGAACAGCTCAAAGGCAAGACTGACATCCTATTAATTTATTTTGTTCAAAAGTCTTAGCATATTGTGGATCCTCAGTGAGGGTGTAAGGAACGGAATGAAATCTGCAGAAAACCGATTGAGCCTTGAGGGCACAAGATGAATACATAGGAATCTGATAGTTTCGCTAAATGCCTTCCTGGATCCCAGCATTAGGGAGCTTGAGTAACATTAGCCCTTTAGACGTAACCCTTTTTATCCTTTTATTATTATTATTCAGTCCTCCTTGCTTAGATTTTTACAGATTCAGCCGGATAACGCTGAACTGCTCATAAGTTATCACATTTCACTGCTTTGTCAAGTTTGGCCTTAATGGCAGAGCTGAAGAACAGCAAGTGCCAATATCAATTTTCTCCGAACTTCCTCCTGGGGGGTGAGAGGGATATGGGGCCTCCTGGGGTTTGGATAGAAGACCGTGGAGCTGCATCTTGCCCTCCACAGACTGGCTTGTTTTGTGGTTGGCTCAATAGCAAATCTTGGGTGTAGTAGTTTTAATAGCACTGCAGAGAGCCATAAACAGGAATTATAGGCATCATAGAATTAAAAACATGCAGTGTAGAATTAAAATTAGAAAGTAACTTTTTTTTTTTTTTTCCTTCCAACCTTGTCCAAGAAACACAGTAGCTGAGCAGGGTAGTCATCAACATGAACCACTTGTGCCATCTGCTGGCCATGGGTAATATTGACCGGTCAGACAACCCTAGGCTTGGCCAGGACCACAGTGAGCTTCCCTGTAGCGACTCTATTTGGACAGCTGGAGAAACCTGGCTTCCACCAGGAGGGAGTATATAATGAGGCCCAGACAAGCGATGCGGCAGCGGCTGCAGCTCTGTGCTTCTTTTGGAGACTATAAAATGGGAGCTGGGAGACTGAGATTAAAACCTAGAAACAGGCAGCCTTTGTGATCTGTTTAACAGCAAAACCTTCAACAAACTGCTTAAGGCCAGGCCTTGTGCTAGAGGCTGGGATTCAAAGAGCAGTGAAGTCTGGTCTCTGTCCACAAGGAATTTCTGGTCTAGTGTGGGAGGTTGCAAGTCACCAAGTAAGATCAATACAGTGACATAGGGGCTGAGGAATGGTACCTATCCAGTCACGCCGTGAGCTTCACGGAAGATGTCTCAGAGGAAGTGACATCTAAATGGATTTCAGGTTACTTAGGATCCGATTACTTTTTTGCCTTTTCCTTAACAATTCCTTAATGCTCAGAGCCAGTAATCATTTTAAGTGATGCCATCTTTTGTGTTCATGGAGCGGGGAGAGAGATATTAATAAGTGAGTATAAAGAGATCATATTTTATATTTTCTTTCTGTTCAGGTTTCTGGCTGAGATCTAAGTTTCCTTGGTCTAAGAGAATAAGGACCAAGACCTTACTGCAACTGTGGGCTTTTAGTAGACCTAGTTCTCTCTACCTCACCACTAGCAAAAAGTATTAATAGGGAGCCATTAATATAGCCTGCCTATTCCCAGCCTAGGGCAAAGGAGGAGATATATTTAAGGTGGTGTAGGAGAGGAGCAATTAGATGATAAATCGAGTTTCTGTCTCCTATCTAATTCCTCCCCTTCTTGCAATTCCAAATATCCAGTAGCACCCGAATTCTATTCTTCTTGGTAAATTTAAGAATGTAAAAGCTTTTTCTTTTGTTGCCCATTTTGGAAGACTGCTGTTTGCTTGCAGAGAAAAATGAGGGTGGCACTGGGGGTGGGCACTTTAACAAGGAACACATTTATCTCTAAATGTCTTCCTGATAAACATTGACTTTGGAGGCAGTGTAGCAAAGACCACCTACATGGTTTTGAGGGTTTTTCTCTGGTTGCAAATGAGAGCCAACATTTTTTCAAAAGAATCTCAAGCAAAGAAAGATGTGGCATACCATCACACTTTCCTAACACAGATCCCAAATCAAAAGTTCAGGCAGTGGAGCCCACAGGCAGCCAAACCAGACATGGATAGAAATCAGAAAGCATGAGAATGTTTACTTCTTCATTTAGAAGGTAGCACAAGAATGTTTAGAGGTAAAGAGGAATGGGGCCAGCATTCAGGAGGTTGTCAAAACAAGCAGCAAAACCTACAGAAGCACCTAGCAATGAGAGCACAGTATAAATATAGATGAATGTATACTATGAAATGCATTTTTTAAGAAAACTAGACTTTAATGAAAGTGTTAATTTATTCTTTCAGTTGCTCAGCACACGTTTATTGAAAACCTGCTATGTCACAGACACTGTGGCCACTGTAATCAAAAGCTGAAAAAATATAGTCTCTTTCTTTGAGGGGTCAACTTCTAAGGGAAGAAGCTGACAGAGAGATGGCATTTTTATCAATATAAAAATCAAATAAGATCGTTGAAGAAAGGGCATCTGATGTCACCAGAAAGAATAAACATCATGAGTTCTGTTCCCTAGCATAGGCACAAAAAGTGAGTAGTGCCTTATAAGTTGCCAGCCATACCATATTCTGTGTTATCAATGGTCAAAAAATAGAATGCAATAAAATATAATCAAATAGTGTCAAGTCTACAAATTCTTGCTCCAATGAATGAGATGTTAGGATCTTACAATTCCTCTAGGTCAAATAGTGATTAAGAGCAAAAATACTAGATTTGAGACTGTACCACTGATAGCTGCACAGTGACTCCCTCTCTAAATCTGTCTGGCATGAATGTCCAATAACGGGTTGTTGAGATGACATAGCGAGGAACGTCAGCAAGGAGTCTTTGGCACATTGCAGTTGCTCAACAAATATACGACATTATAATTTCTATTGTATATGTACTGAATAATAGCTATTTTAAATAGTAGAAGGACAGATGAAAAACTTGACTATACCAATTTGTACTTTGGTCATGAAGGGGGCTCAAGAGATTTAAGTCCTTGATCATGAATATAAACTGCATTGTGGAAGATGGGCAGCCTGTAGTGTGCACAGAGACACCAAAGAGTTAAATTCTGTTCTTGGTGTGTTAGTGATTTATTGTTGTCTGTTTGTTTGCTTATTTGGTTGGTTGGTTTTCTGATGCTAGTGATCAAATCCAGTGTCTTGTCTCAATATTCTTATTGTGAAGTCAGGACCACCTCATCCCACTTGTAGGTATTTCCTGGATTTTTCTCAGTGGTAGCTTTGTGACTGAGTCATACCCATGTTGTCATTGGGATTGCCTTACTTTCTCAGGAGATCAGGATTTCAAAGCTCTCTGAAGCTTGTGGGTGGCAGGGCCTAGATGGCTGCAATGGTATGTTAGATACCAGCTTTCTGGAAAAACAGACTGTAAGATAAATAAAGGACCTGACATGTGGCCCTTGCCAATTTCCCCCACTATAGTCCATTTCCGGGTACCAGCAGTTGAAAAAACTGGCTCCCACATTCCTGAATCCGGAGCACTCATGGCCCTTGAGCCAGTGTAAACTGGCTCCAGCACCCAGGCCATGCAGCTCTGGTATATCTGTGCCTACCTTCCACTCTGGCACTCATAGCAGCAACTCTTCTACCATTTCTCTTAACTTTTGTTTTTCTACTCATGAACCAACATTGGTCTCAGAAGTGAGCCATCTTGTACAGAGATTATGGGATGGAGCTGAAATGAGACATCCAACTTCATATTAGTAGTAAATGACAGTTCAGTTAGGAACCAACTAGCTAGATTAATGAAAGTTCACTCTTTTGCTAATACTCCTGACAGTGGAGGGGACAGACAAGTTGAAATTACTAAGTGTATTTCAGTATCATTACTTTTCTGCCCTGTCAGAACACCGGAGCCGTAGTGATCGTCGAGAGCAGAGAGCTGCTGTGCCCCTGTCCATAGCTGCTCCACCACTGCCAGCCTACCCTCCAGCTCACAGCCAGAGGAGGCGAGAGGTGAAGGACCGCCACTTCCTCACGGTAAGCTCAGCTCATTGGCTGACAGCAGCAAATGTGAGTTTGTCGTGGGAAGGAATTTCCCCCTCCCACTGAGGGAAGCTGGGTTGGCTGAGAGAGCAAATCATGGACACCTGGGAACAAATGAACCTTCCTCTTTTAATATCTGAAAGGAATGTCCCTTCTTTTGGACTAGAATAGGGATTCAGGTATATTTTTAAGTGAATAGGTGTACAATGCAGTGAAGCAATGATGTTTAAAGATTCAGAAAACAATTTTGCTTCACATCCTAGTTTTGCTTGCAAGCTAAAAAATGTAGGGTAAATTACTTACCTACCCAGCCCTCAGTCCCCTCATCTGGAATATGGGATATTAATATTATCTACCTTACAGGGCTTCAATATTAAATGAGATAAGGCACACGCAAAGCTCAGCACAGTGACTGACAGTGTAAGACCTTCATAAGTGTTAACCACAACTGCTATTATTATTATCATCATTACAGCAAATGATAGTGTATCTGATTCAGTGGGAAAATCTGGAGAAGAACTTCAGTGATGTGGAAAACTACCATTTGAAGAAGAATCATGTGATTCTTTCATGTTTTCCTATTCTATAAAAGAAGCTGCTTCTCCAGGATAACTTATTGCCTTGGTGATATGATCACTACTGGTAATTTCAGCCTCATCTAGAGGGATGCAATTGTAACTTAGCTTGTGTAGATCACAGATGACAGAGCTAAGCTTGCTCAGAATACCTGCACACGTTCTCAACAGCCACTGTGAATGTGTTACCCTGAGGGCACCTTCCGGAGCCTCAGTGTGGACAAGTAAACACACTATCCTCTGAGTCGGGTGTCATTGAGGTGATGAGCTATGGTTTCTGTCATCAAATCAACTCAGACTGCCTGTCTGCATGTCTGCACGCATGTTTTATTCTGGTTTGGGACTTCAAAGCAAGCACCAAGCTCCTACAAGTAAGAAGAGGGAATGGTTACTTCCTTGTCAAATAATTCATGTCAAAAGTTCTAGATATTAAAATCTTTCACATCTAAACATTTTAAAACCTGTTCATTTTTGGATGAAAGAAAAAATACGAACATTGCTACACAACTTCTTAAAAATAATGACAATAAAAACACCACTAACATACTCTATGGAGTACAATAAAATACTGACGAGGAACATATCCAACACTGAACAGTTTTATTTTATCAATAAGATTTTAAATGAAAATGAAATTTTAAAAACTACAAAACAAGAAAAGAAAGGAAAAGTAAACACAAGGAAGGAAATAATGAGGTAAAAATAAAAATTAATGAACTAGAGAAGAGAACAGTAAACCTAATCCATTACAACATGACCAAGAAAAAGAGGGAAAATAGACTAAGCAGTTATAGGGGAAATTAATATTGAAACAAATTTTTTTTAATTTATAAGAACTACTTTGTATGGAAATAAATTTGAAAATATAATTAAATAGATAATTTCCTAGAATTATGATTGTTAAAATTGACCTGTTTTACAGTTAATAAGCTTAAGGAATCTAATTTCCATAGAAAACACAGAAGTTAAGGAACCATGCAACCAGGCCCAGATGCTGTCTCAGAGGAAATGTATTAAACTTAGATGTCCATAGATTCCCAAATGCTCTAGAAATTGTTTTGTAGTATTGAAAACAAAGTAAAACTTCCATAAATCTTTTATGAACAAAGTAGAACATTGATCCCTAAACTTATTAAAGACAACCCATAGAAATTATAAGTACATACTAATGTTACTCATGATTATTGATTCAAAAGCATGAAATTAATCACTAGCAAACAAAATACAGTGCCACATTAAGGTATTAATATACCATGACTGGATAAAATGTATTCTAGGAATAGAAGTTTGGTTCAATATTAGGACATGTATTAATATAAATACTACATTAATAGAAAACCTGTATGAGTATCTCTAAGAACACCAGAAAAGCCTTAAATAAAATGTAATATCTTTTTTAAATTAAAAAGGCTCAAGAAAATAGTAATTGTCATATTTCATTAACATGATCATATATATGTATATAAATGTCTAAACACTAGTACTTAATGGGAACCAGTAGAAGCATTTCCACTAAAATCAGAAAGGTGAGAATGCTCATTATCTGCTACCACTTAGCATTGTATTAGAAGTATTAATTAATGTTAATTGGCAAGATAAATCAATTAGAGGCATAAGAATTGGAAAAGAAGAAATAAATTTATATTTAGCTGAAGATAGTATATTACACCAGGAAAAATCATCAAGAATCAATGACAAAGCTAACTCAAGCAATAAAAGAATTAAGTAAGGCCAAAGGATACCAACACACAAGTCAATGCCTTTCATTTACCCAAAGGATACCCAATTAGAAGACCAGTGTTGTACAAAGCCCTATTTGCAGCAACAACAAAGAAGATTAAATACTTAAGAATTAATTTTCCAGAAATGTGTAAAACCTGTATAAGAAAAACCTTAAAGTACTTCCTAAAGACAAAAAATTAAACTTTATCAAATAGAAAGACATACACTGTTCGTAGACAGAATGATTCAACATTAGAAATATATCAGTCCTAAGAGTTTACATTTAACACGACTTCAATAAAAATACCAATAAGCTTTTTATAAAATGAAGTTAGAACCATAACACTGAAGATCTTATGGTATCCACTTACTTGCATGATAAACTTCAGTCAATTATGCAGTAATGCAATGTGCCTATCTTAAAATCTCCACACTATGCAAAATTGCACAATAAAAACCAAAAGCCTGGAAGGAAAGCTGAGTTAGGAGCACAGTACTCAAAGACTTCTATCACACGTACAGACACACACACAGACACACACACACACACACACACACACACACACACAGATAGAAACTATAGGGCTGGGGGTTTAGCTCAGCGGTGTAAGCGCTTGACTTGCAAGCAGGCAGTCGTGAGTTCGATCCCCGGTACAGATAAAAACGAAAAAAGACCAAAAAAAAAAAAAAAAAAGAAAGAAAGAAACTATGATAAATGATTAGGAAATACATAAACACTGCTATAAATTGGCATTTTACCTAGAAAAAGTTTTGATTTTTTTTTAATGGAGTGGGCATCAGTAGGGCTGTAGCTTGTATGTTATTGGGAAGGGGGAGAAAGAGAGTGATCTGAACCTGGAAGGAAGGTTGCAGCACCAAGTGCGGATGACCTTCTAACACACAGGTTGAACGGGAATAGCTAGTAGAAGTTTAGAGTGTTACGTGTTTTCGTGTATTCTTCCACAGCTCGGTTCAGGTGGGTGCAGTTCCCGCATTTACCTAGTTTCTCGAGCGTATGAAATGGTGCATAAACAAATGCAAAATCCGTATTATGTTTAAATCATTCTCTTACGATATCAGTTGCACTGGAACAAAATCAAAATTTTAAAACAAGCATAGCAAAATTGGTTGTACAGGAAGGATAAATCAGAAACTAATGACTGGTTTACCTGTGGCAGGGTAGGTAGAGTAGAAAGAACAGATGAATGGGGAGGAAACAGTACGGTTGAGGCAGCAATTATATTTCTGAGTATATTTTTGTGTAGCACAGATTTTTAGAGCCCAACTAATATTGCACATGCCCCCATAAATAAATAAGCAACGTCAATCAGAATATGAGGAGAACCCAAGTGGAAAACAAATAGCAACAAATAAGACTAACAAATGAGTAGATAACCACACTGGAGGAGGTGGGGAAGGAAATAGCTAATTGCAATCATTTTGGAAAACAGTATTTTTGTTTTGCTTTATTTTAGTCACCAATGCTTAATGGTAAATCCATGAATATAATTTTAAATCGAATGAAGAGTTACAACTGTGGATTGAAACAGTTTGTTATAAAAGCCAAAAGGTTTAAGTCATAAATTTAGCAACTTTAAATATGAAAGTCAGAGAGCCTCTGAACTAGCCAACAGATGACTATTAAACAAGTCTTCCTCTTTATACAATTCTTATGTTATATCACTTGGTCTTAAAGTCAGAATGATACTTCAAAAAGAATTCCTCACTCATTTATACTTAAATCATCCTTCCCGGACAGTCTCCACTTCTTTCTTCCACTTCGCAGTGGAAGTCTTTAGCCATTCCCTTCCTTATGAATTCGGTGTACATTTTCCTTAAGTAACCAGTGGATCAAAGAAAGATGGCCAAGGGCATATGTGAGAATGCAGAGACTTACACAGATGAACTTCAGGATGTCAACTGCCTGAATCATGAGATCTAAATTTAACTGACCTTGGCAAAAGAACTGCTCTGGTTTGCTCAAAGGCCTTTCATTCTGCCAAAAGTTGTGCTGCCATTGCTAGATGCCGCGTTTCTAAGGGATTGGCAGTGGCCTACCCAAGGAGTCTGGATATCAGTGTAACCAGGCACCTACTGCTGCAATACACTCAATCCTTTGGACCCACCTCTATCAAGAGCAGACTACAGCTTCCAGCATAGTCATTTGCCAAATGTAAAAGCTTTCAAGAGACTGAGGACAGTCTTTACATCTTGAACAGAATAAATTAGCACTTACTGAACAGTAATCTCTACTTAGAAATGTGAAGTGCAAAACATTATAGTGTGGATGACACTGAGGCAGAAACAGTGCTGCAAAGGGGTGAATGCAGGAGACTTTATAGGGTGCCCAACCTCCTTGATTAAAAAAAAACACATGACAAAGTTTCCAAGCATATTATCAGAGTCATCATGGTGATGACGGTATTCCCAAGAAACCTTCAAATACGTGGCTGCTTTCTGATGCAGTAACAAGCCTTGCCACATAGGTGTACACGTGGCAATTTGGAGACCTAAGATGTGGCATGACACCTCTCGCCTTCCAAGAAGATTTCCATCAAATTGTTCTGTGATGGTAGAATATAGTACAGGGACCAAGACACGGTTACATTCTTCTGAGAGAAGTATTGGCTCCTGAAAATGTCCCAGGGAGAAAACATCCCAGAGGCGCATTTGTGAGTGAAAGCAAATAAAAACTAT